GCCCAGGATAATATAATCTGAAAACCAGAATATTGCTAGGAAGCTACAGTTTTAGAGAACAGATGTGGTATAAAATCATGCAAATGTAGATATCAAAATGTAAGAGGCAGAAAAATGAAACAATTAAGTAAATTGCATGACAGAGTGTAAAGACAGAACATCACTTTCAGCTGCCAGTTCTACCTCGGACCATCCTCTCTAACCCTGACAATCCACAGCAGCAGGTCTGCAGGGTGGAATGAAGGATCTTCTGCCACAGAAGCCTTGGCTCACTTCCTGTGGTTTTATGTGTCCCAATTTAGGATTTTTCCTTTTTTACATTTAAAATACAAGATTTTGTATTATATAAGGTTGCACACTTGAAAGATTTCACTATTTTACAGCATAGTAAAAGAAATAAAAATGATTGATTGCCCCAGTGACTATCATGATTAATTAGATGCTTTTTTGCTAATCTCCTTATACAGCTATTAAAAGTACAATAAAAAGTGCTACTAAACTTGATTTTGCACTCATGAAATTGAAAATAGAACAGAATAACTGGTAACATAAATTTACATAACCATGTTTACTATTAATATTCTTATTTAAACTTAGGAAATTTGATTTCAATATTTTAGTACCATGCTAAGAAGAAGACTGTTGCACCTATCTTCGGCAAAAAGTTCAAAGTAAATTACTTAACTTTATGTTTAAGTAGAAAAAAAATCTATTAACACTTTTGCAAAACTATATTCTGAAGTCAAAAATTCTGGCTAAAGGAAAACTTCAATTTTCCATAGCAAACTCCAATCATTTTTTTCCAAAGGAAAACAACAGTACCTAATGAATCTTAAATTATTAATGATACTAGAATTTTAATGGAAATAGGGTGTATTTTCAATGAAGACTACAATACTCAAAATAAAAGGAACTATTACCCAGAACCTCAAAAACAATATTTTTAAGTTTTTTATTTTGTTCTGTAGCCATGCTCAAGGGACTACTCCTGGTTCTGAGTTCAGGGGTCTATCATGTGGTATTGGGGATCAAACCTGAGCCTTCCGCATGCAAAGCATGCACTGAGCCGATTAAGCCATCACATCAGCACTCAAACCAACATTTAAAAATTTAACTTTGATGTTAGCAATACCACCACACCATTAACTTTAGGAAGCTGTCCAATTAAACTGCTTGGTATTTGGTTTAGGACTTCCTAAATAGCAAAGTTCTGTTCCTGTGTCTGTGGAGATATATATTTTTGTCTTTATTTAAAAAGATCCTGGCAGAAGCTGGAGCGATAGCACAGCAGTTAGGACGTTTGCTTTGCACACGGTCAACCCGAGTTCGATTCCCAGCATCCCATATGGTCCCTCAAGCACCACCAGGAGTAGTCCAAGCACCATCAGGTGTAATTCCTGAGTTCAGAGCCAGGAATAACTCCCTGTGCATCGCCGGTTATGACCCAAAAAGCAAAAAAAAAGGAACCTGGCAGGGGTGGTGGGAGAATAAATCCCGTAAGGTCTCCTGAGCCCCTCTGAATCATCTCTGAGCACAGAGCCAGGAGTAAGTCCTAAATATCTCTGAATGAGTCCTTCTCCACCCTGTCCCCCGCCCCTCAAGAAAAAAAAAAAAAGAACCTAGGGATTAGGAGTTGCTCAAAAGTAAGACATTGACTTGCATGCAGTTGATCCCAGTTGGATCCCTGGTAATCTTTTAGTTCTCCAAACACCACTAGGAGTGATCCCTGGGCACAGAAACAGGAGTAATCCCTATCATAGTCTGGTGTACTCCCTCCAGAAAAAAAAATTTTTTTTCAATGAATACTGTAACATACAAGTTTAACAGAAAAGTAGAACATTTTATAATTAAAATTAATGACAAATATCTGGGTTTTGAAACATTTATGTTACTTAAAAATAAAGCAGTTTCACAATATTCAGCATTTAACTGCACTCAGGAATTTACATGTAGAACAGGGAAGACTTGTGAAAAGAAAGAAGATAAAGTTTCATCTCTCTCCTCACTCAAAAGGCTCAATATTAATAAATTTATAAAAGTTGATGGGAAATATAACACTGTAACAGGGATTCAGAGTAAGCAATTAGCTCTAAGGTTTTAGTACTGTAGTCATCATTTCCTAGAAAGTTTTGGAAAGCTTCTTCTCTGATACCTTGATCTTTATCTGGAGTCCACAGCCCTCCTGTTTTCTAATTTAAGTCCCTCATTTACATCTGCTCTAATTCCCAAGTCAGGTTACCTTTCCAATGCAATGAAACATGCAGCAGTGGTGAAGGGAAAGGAGATAGAATTATTTTTGCTAGGTACTCTTGAGGAAGGTAATTTGATTAAAATTCCTACAGAGATCTCAGCAATAAAAAAACAAGTTTAAGAAAACACACCTTCTTAAAGGAAATCAATCTCATACTAATTGATGGTCACATGATTGACCTAAAGCTGGAAGTACCTAGACATTCCCTACTCTATTGACCTATCCTAGAAGGAAAGACTTTCTTTTACTTTATGTTCCCTATACTTCTTTATTTAAAAAAAATGTTATTTATGTAACATGGTACCAATAGTATTGATATTAATACTTTTGGGATTGAAAGGGTTAATTCAGTTCACTTCTAGTCCATCTCTTTCTTCCCCAATTCCCACCAACCCCACTTTCTACAGTCAGGAGTTCTTCTGCTCCCCCTTTACTCTCAATTCTGCTTTTAGGTGAAATATTTTACTGAAACAAAAAACAAACTCCAGTTTTAACAACAAAACACACTTCACCATGGAGAAGAAAGAGAGGAAATGAAAAGGGCATAAAGAAAAAGGAAGACAGGGGCTAGGGGTGGAGGCTGATGGGAGGGAACCTGGGGACACTGGTGCTGGGAAATGTACGCTGGTGGAGGGATGGGTGTTGGAATACTGTGTGACAAATTCAATCATGAAGAGCTTTGTAAGGGTCTATCTCACAGTGATTCAATAAAAAAAGTTTAAAATAAAGGAATGATAAAGGCAAAATAGCAGTGAGAAACTAAGAAAACAGAGTTAAAGTTTTGAAAAAGAGTCAAGACAACATAACCATAAGACAATAATGACACAAATTTGCTTCATTCACTACAAGAGATCAGGTAAAAAAAACATTCTTAACTCTAGGAAAGTAGTAGGAATAAAATGTTTCTTGTTGAGTAATCCACATGTCCATGATTATTAGGTGGCTAATTTATGAGGCCTTGGGATGTCAAAACAAGAGTTGGAACCTGAGGAGCTGGTAGTACAGCAGGTAAGGTGCTTGCCTTATGTGCACACAAGCCCATATGTTTCCCCAAGTTCCAGTAGGAATGACCCCTCAACACAGAGCCAGAGGTAAGCTGGGAGCTCAGCTGAATGTTCTTCTCCCTGGACCCCAAAAAGGAATTAGGACCAAGAAATATTCCACTCACACAAAGAATAATTATTATGTTTGAAGGTCAAACTTGCCAAACATGTAGCTTAGCAGAAGAACAATTACCTGCAGGTATGAGAGAACTTGGGTTTGATCCCTGGTACCCACAAAATTTTTTAAAAATGCATACATACACGCACATATATATTTAAATAGTCAGATTTAATCAACTAGCAAATATTGCAGGACAGAGAATTTCTTTCTACATATATAAAATCAGAAAATGGAATCTTATTCAAGATGAACATTTTTAACTTCACAAATACATTTACTTTTCTCTTTGTTAGTAAGTCCATCAGTGTTATTGATTTTAAAGAAAAATTACTTTGAAGTTAGTTTAATTATTCAATTGAAGGAGAAGAGGGGAGAAAGTAGGCTTTTAAAACAGTTTCATGAAGCATTACAAAAGTCAGCCAAGTACACAAAGAAAAATCTAGGTTGAATTGAAGTATAATCATGGAAATATGAAACTAAAATTCTAATTCTAAATCAGCTGAATACATTATTGACTACAAAATTGTGGATTCAACAAAAGAAATAATATTTGCATTGATGTGTGAATCTGCATCCATTCTTGGTAGCATGTAATATATGCAACTGTTCAGCTTTAGCTGTCCTTGTAGTCACATTACCATATTATTCAAATGTATCTATCATTTATATGTAAATAGACAGAATGAATGGCTTCTTCATAAGACAACAATTTTCAAATGACAAACAGACACAGGCAGACATTAGCAGGCAGAAAATTGATGCAAATATTCATTCTTTTATATATTTTAAGGAAAATGGAAACTATTTAAAATTTTTTTAAAAAGTAGTATAGTAATTACAAAATGGGATCCTAATACAGTCACAATACCAACAGCTATTCTTCTCAATAAAAAGCTGCACCAATGTCATTTGTATCTTATAAATTACAGGTTCTCAGATCCATCTGTGAAAATTGGGATGTTAATTATTATGGTTACATTTCATGACTCCACAGTTAAATGCTGTAGTGGTGCTACACAAATACCATATGTTTTTCTTAGGGAAACGAAGAAAGATTAATTATGAGTTCAAGTCCAAGTCTTCTAGCAGAATTACTCTCAACACAATAAGATCATTATATTCTGTGCTATGCAAATTGGAAGCTTTAATTAATAGCCAAACTACTAACTGAGGCGAAAATCCATGAAGTCTAAATTGTAAGTATCAGGTTTCACTCCACAGATACCCTAATAAAGATGCTTTTGAGAAAGCAAGTTGCAAATCCAGAGGAAATAAACCAAAAAAAATTTTTTGTGTGTGTCTAAAATTTCTTTGGCAGAGTGATTCCCATCATGAAATTTAATCCTATTTGATAAACAAACAAAAGTACACTGCATCCTATTACCAAATAGGTTATAAAAAGATGATACATGTGGTAAGAAACTTAAAATTTCCTGGTATTCTCTTGTAACATGTCTTTAAATTATGTAAAGATATATATCCTGTATTAACTACTTCAGCACTGCACACTAAGAATAAAACTCAATGAGAATAGTCTAAAAATGTTATCAATATTTACAAGAGCTGAATTCTTTATTTTACTCACCACATATTCAAACACCAGTGTCAGTGTCTCCTTGGTATGGATGATGTCATGAAGCAGCACTATGTTAGCATGTTTGAGTCCTTTTAATAAAGAAGCTGCAAAATAAAGTAAACAAAGATTATTCTTCCTGACTGAAAACAAGATCATTTGTTTATCATTTTTGGCACATTGTTAGTTTAAACCTCTATTTTAACATTTTCCAAGACTGTAACACGTTAGGATCGAACACAGAGAAACACAATTTTCATGGAGTCCTTCAACTGCTTCATCTGTTATTTGTTATTAGCCCCTGTTAGATTCCATTTTGGTCAGAGAACAGATTATTTTCACATTTTAATTTCAACTTAGCTTTTTAATTTATTTTGTGTTGCCAAAAATTTAACCCAGGGCCTCACTCAAGAAACACAACTGCTCTAGTGCTAAGCTACCTACCCAGGTAGATTTCAATTATTTTAAGAGTGTTAAGACTTGTTTAGTATAAGGGCTCATCTTAGTAGATATGTTAAATATATAAAATTCATATTCTGCTGATGTTGCATGCATTTCAATTGATCCTATTGGATGATGATGATGACATGTGGTTTATCTTCTGAATGATAATTCTGCCATCAAACAATTTAAGGAGTATTCATATTTCCAACTACAATTGAAGACAATTAAATCCCTCCTTTGAATTCTACTAGTTTGGGCTTTGCATATTTTGCAACTAATATATTTAGTTTTTTTTAATAAACTGCTCCTTTATCAAAACATAACTTCCATTTTTCTCTAATCAGTTTTGTTAGATGTGATTGTACCTATTCTAACTTGCTTTTGATAAGCATGTACATGCTCTATCTATAGATGTTTTACTATTTTGGGGACATACCCCACATTGCTCAGGAACTACCTCCAGCTCTGTGATTGGGGGTCACTCCCAGCAGTGGTGGGGACCACACTGTGCTGGGTATTAAACCTGGGTCTCTTGAATGCAAAGCATATACTCAACTTTTGAGTTACCTCTCCATCCACCAGAACCAGGTTCTTTAGAAAGGCTCTTTAGCAGTTCTAAGTGCGAACATAGTTATTCCCAAGGTTTAGTAGGCCATTCATGCAGTGTTAGGTACTAAATCCTCTTTCTGCTAGGAATGTGTTGCATCCTTTGGAGCTATTCTCAGCCCTACATGATTCAACCTTTTTACATGTTTTCCTTATAACTGACCAATTTCATTATATTTGAAGCGAGTCTCTTATAGATATTCTATCACTGGCTACTGTATTTTACCTCATTCCTTCAATCTCTTAATACTTAAACATTTACATGTAATGGAAATATTAATATATTAGGACATGCTACTTGTATCTATTTATTCATGGGTAACCTTGCAATTAGTATTTATATCTGATTTTGTTTTATTTCTAGTCTTCAGTTCTGTATTTACAATTCAAAGGGTTTTTTATTGTTGTAGTTGATGATGTTGTTGTCTTGCTTGATACTCTCAAGAGCTTGTATATGAACATTTAATTTAGAGTACAATATTCTGTTCAGTTTTAGTTTCATGGCTCAGTTGTTGAAAAAGACTGTTTATCACTTGAAATGTATTGCTCCAGTGCTTTTTTCTGATTTTACTTATGGAAGTTTTATAAGGATATGGATTTCTTTGGTTTAGTCCTATTCACCCAATGGACTGGGTACTGCATTTGAAAGTCTCCTTTATATGTGATTTTTATGGATATTCCAGCTGCAAAATTGGGGGGGATCTGGAGTATCTTGTGTGTTTTTTTAACCAGTAGGTTCCTTAATTTCTTGCTTCAATTTTTTCTCCTTCTTTATTTTCACTGAATGTCTAGAAGGGGTACCATCCTCTCTGTAGATATTAGAATCTCTCCCACAAGTAATACTTTCTGATGGTGCCAGGATCATTTCAGTCTCCTTTCCTGTAGTTGAATGCTGTTAACTGCAGGAAAGGGGCCTTGTTCTCTCTTTCATATTTGACTTCTATCTGCATTTTGTTTAATTCTTCCAAGGCCCTTACACTTCTTTTCCAATCTCTTACATTTCTCTTGTGCCTGCAAGCACAATTTTGTTCCTTTCTTTATGTTCTTAATACTATAGGTCATCTGGGCCTTCATTTGCTTTTTCTGTTGAATTTATTACTTTTGATATATGTGAGTTGGGAGGTTCAAGATCAAAGAGCCAATAACCATTGTCTTCCAAATCCCTTGTCCTCCATCAAGGCTTGATACACAGTAGCAACTCAATAAATCTACCAAATCATTCACGTAGGTGAATGACCTACCAAATCACTCATTCAAGGCATGATACATAGTAGCAATTCCATAAATCTACCAAATCATTCATTTAAGTTCCCCCATGGAAGGCTAGAAAGACAGACAAAACCTCAGTCTCTTCCTTAAATGAGAAAAGAACCCAGAGGCTGTTCCTCAGGTTTGAATTTTATTTCTTCTTTATTGATCTAGATCTCAGACTTATGACAGATGTCAAGTATTTTTAACGCAAGCTCCCTTTACATCTACTGTTCCCTAAACCCAAAGACTAGCTAACTGGCAATTTCATAATCAGAGCAAGGAACAAGTGCTTCTATCTCTTAAATGTCATTTATTATCCATACATACACCCTTTCACTAGATCAAAAAGAAAAATACTCACCCTACCTTTATACCATAATCAGACTCATTTTGACATTGCTAACTTCAAAAACAATGAATTTTTTTCTTAAGATTTCAGTTTTTATAAATACATCAAAGCGAAATTGGGCTTTAAAAAATGTTTCTTTGAATCACCTCCCTATAACAAATAGTGAGAAACGCAATGACAGTATTAAAAATACAGGAAAATATTTACAAGATATTACTTAGTAATTAAATGCTAAGTGAATTGAGTCTACATTGCTCTGTGTAAGAACAGTAGACCATTGTCAGCGGAGAAGAAGTAGTATTGTACTATCTAGAACAATAAGTTAAGTCTTGCATGTTGCAAACCCTGATTTGATCCCAACAACACATATGCGCGCACCCCCTCCCCATCTGCCTAGGGTCACTCCTGAGGGCAGAACTAGAAATAACTCCTTTGCACTACTGAGTAAGGCCTAACCAACTCCCTCCTGCACCCCCCTCCCCCCGCCTCAATTTAAAGAACCAAAGAACCCAAGACAGATATGAAAATATGTAAAAATAATGTTCTGTGCAAGTAACCCATATTATATAATAATCAAAACCCATTCTATAAATGAGACTCTTTATCCTTCAATAACAACAAACAAACATAAAAGGAATGTGTTCTAGAATGATTGCACTCATTCTATAGAATATAAAATAACATAATATGAGACTAACACCCAAGGTCAGTAGACATAAGGATCAGGAAAACTGCTCTGTGGTTGAAAGCCTGCCTCATGAGCTGGAGGAGACGACAGCTGGAATAGAGAAGGGATCACTAAGTCAATGATGGTTGGAGAGATCGCTTGGGATGGGAGATATGTGCTGAAAGTAGATAAAGGACCAAACATGATGGCCTCTCAGTAATGCTAACCATAATGCCCCAAAGTAGAGAGAGAGTAAGAAGGAAATTGTCTGCCATAGAGATAGGGGGTGCTATGGGATGGGATGAGGGGTGGCAGGAGGGATACTGTAGACATTGGTGGAGGAAAATGTATAATGGTGGAGGGATGGATGTTCGACCATTGTATGACTGAAACTCAATCATGAAAGCTTTGTAACTGTATCCCAAGGTGATTCAATTTAAAAAAATTGTCTATTCCCCTATACCAATGACTATTATACAGTTATCTCAAAGAACAAAAGCTTCCTCTACCACATTACTTTAGTAACACCATGTCTTCAATTGTGGTATACAAAATCAATCCCAAAGAGAAAATGGAAAGTTGTTTTGTATTTTTCATTCACCTTTTACCTCTTATCATTTACACTGTTTCCACATTCCTCAAAGTAATGTCTTCATACCCATCATTAACCACTGCATTTACCCTTTGACTTCAATAAAATTAATATTGTGTCATCATTATTCTTGGAAGCTTTTTTCCTGATGGTGTCTAATATTATAGAGAAATAAAACATGCCATTTGTAAAATATTTTTGACCACTTCTATCTGAAGACTCTAATATGTCCCAACAATGACAGATTTTAGATTTATAAATACATTTATATGCATACTTAAGATACACTGTCAGTTAAAGAATTACTAACATCTATATTTGAACCAAGCTCTCTTTCTTTTGATATTAACATAACTAATTTTCCATACTTGGAAAAGAACCATGGCTAATTTCAAAGGTGATGGCCAAAACAAGGTACTGAAAGGCAGAAAACTGTTAAGGGCATCTACCAACATCATCTTAGGTGACAGACAGGACTAACATGCAGACTGCCAATGAAACAGCCACTGGTCCCAGCAAGGTGCCAAATTCCTGCCATGATCATGCAAGTTTCTCACAAGGGCTGCCAAATCAATCCAGTGATTAACATCTACAGGCACAAGAGCCAGAATGTCTCCCTTTTCAAGATAAACACTGTCAAAATAATTCCACATGTAAGCCTAATAGTATCACAAATATTCCATGTTATTTCCTCATTACTTACACACAAAATAATTCCTGTAATGTTAGTGTTAGTTATTCGAGCATGCTTAGTTATCCTTAATTTTTAGTTGCTGTTGCTTATTTAGGGGTAACACCCGGCAGTGCTCAGTGTTTACTCCAAGATTTATACTCATGGATCACTCCTTAGCAGGCTCAGAGTGGGGTGCCAAAACCAAACCCAAGTTAGCTGTGTGCAAGCAAGTTCCTTGCCCATTGAACTATCTCTTTGGTCCTTCTCCTCAAATTTTATATGAACATATGCTAATTTCAACTCAGTTCACCATCAACTTATGAAAAGATAGAAGTTATATTGACATAGAAAACTTGTAGTCAGAGGAATACTTCAAAGGGCTAAAGAGCAGGCTTTGAAAGCAGGAGACCAAGGTGGTTCACCATTTACCACTGGGAGTAATCCCTGAGCATCAAGCATGCCACAGTCCCTGAACACCACTGGGTGTGACCTCAGAAACAATTCTGTAAATAAGGTTGACAATGA